GCCAGGTGCCCCAAAGGAAGGGAACAGCACAGGAATTCTCCATGTGATCCCTCCCCAATTGCCCATTTCTAGCCCCTGACAAACAGAGGCCAGGGACACCTGCCCTGCCCATCCTGGCTAATAGCCATTGATGGATCTAACCTCCATGAATTTATCTAGCTCTTTTTTGAACCCAGTTAGAGTCTTGGTCTTCACAACATCCTCTGGCGAGGAGTTCCACAGGTTGACAGTGCACTGAGTGAAGAAAAACTTTTAAACCTGCTGCCTATTAATTTTATTTGGTGACCCTTAGAGCTTATATTATGGGAACAAGTAAACAAGTTGTTTTCCTTATTCACTGTTTCCACACCAGTCACGATTTTATAGATCTCTATTCTATCCCCTCTAGTTTCCGCCTTTCTAAGATGAAAAGTTCCTGTTGTTTTAATCTCTCTTCATATGGCACCCATTCCAAACCACTCCACATTTTTGTTGCCCTTTTCCAAACCTTTTCCAATGCCAAGAGATCTTTTCTGAGATGAAGAGACCACGTCTGTATGCAGGATTCAAGATGGGGGCGTCCCATGGTTTTATAGAGAAGCAATAAGACTTTCTCTGTCTTATTCTCCATCCCCTTTTAAATGATTCCTAACATCCTGTTTGCTTTTCTGACGGCTGCTGCCCATTGAGTGGCTGTTTTCAGAGAACTGTCCATAGTGGCTCCCAGATCTCTCTTGAGTATTTGTAGCCAACTTGGTCCCACTCATGTTGGTGGTTTAAAAACTGCTCTGCAACCTTTTGAATGTGAAGTGCCAGCAGACTGGTTTCACTTTGGTTTAGGTGGATCCCGTCCTTCCTGTATAGGCTCCCTCGCTCCCAAAAGTTTCCCCGGTTCCTAATAAATCTAAACCCTCCTCCCTACTCCATCGTCTCATCCCCGCATTGAGACTCTGAAGCTTTGCCTGCCTACCTGGCCCCACGTGTGGAATGGGAAGCATTTCCGAGAATGTCACCATACAGGCCTGGTGCAAGCTTTCACGGGCAGAGCATGTGTCTGATGAAGTTATACGCTCCAATCAATCTGTTAGTCCATAAGGGGCCACAGGGCCCCTCGTCACTTTTCCATTGTCTAACGTGGTTTCACAGCTGTGCCAAATCCGTACAACTTGGTTTTATTCTGAACTGGGTTGGCATCAAATTTCAGTGTCAATTTCCCAAGGGATGGAAATTCCAAGTCTTGACCAGGGCTCCCAACTCCAAGCCCCAGACATTCCCTGTTCGGTTCCCTTCCTCTGGGGCACCTGGCGCTGGCCACTGTGGGCAGACAGGACATGGGGATGGATGGACCTTAGGTCTGACCCCGTCTGGCCTCCCTGGTGTTCTTATAACTCGGCTTTCGCCTTCCTTGTACCAGCACCTAGCGGAGAGGGACCCTGCTCCAGGCCTGTGGCCGGAGGCTGGGCAGGCCCCAGGGGTCGGCAGGGCCACGCCGTGGCCTCGCCCGGGGAGGGGTCTGGAAGGGCCCTGTCGTGGCCTCGCCCAGAGAGGCGTTTGGAAGGGATTTATCCCCAGTGCTTTGGATTTCCCGTGTTTGCCAGAGCACCCAGCCCCAGACCGGCCCCTTCACACCAGCAGGACGACGCCCACACGGAGGGGGCTGCCCAGGGCTGGCGATGCTGGTTCCTGAGCGAGAACAGAAACCGTCTGTTAAACCGGCCGCAGAGCCGCGGTGCCCGACCCGTTCTGACGCCGCAGCCGCTCTCGTGGCGACTGTTACAACGAATTAGCCCCCTTGTTCTGAAAACAGAAATAATTGTGTGAGCCAGCGAGCCCCACTCACCCGGCCCAGTAGCCAGGGGCAGTTTGGGGCGCGTGTCCGGCGCACCGCGGCCTTAGAGCATTGGATGGAAATGGTGTTTCCCTGGCAGCGCGCTGGGTGTCCGGACGACAGTGCACGGTCTAATAGGCTACGTCTCGACGGCAGGCTCCTTGCACAAGATGCTTTTATTGGACGATTTTCTGCTCCACACTGCAAAGCACGTCGAAAAAGTGCTGTGATTTTTTGCAAGAGACCCTTCCTTGTCAATGTAAGCAAATGGTTCCCCCTTTGCCTGTGTCCCTGCTGAGAGCGCCTGGCGCGGCTCCGCTGCTCCCTGCCCTGCACGTCCCGCAGCAACGAACGACACAAGCTCTGAGGATCAGCGCGCCCAGCGCCCAGCCCATGGGCGCAGCAGGGCGACTCTACCCACTGCTCATCACTGCCCCCCACGATCTGTCACTCACAGCGGGGCTCCCCCAACCACAGAGGGGCTCCACTGTCGGGTTCCCCAGTGGAAATGCCCGTGGAAGGGATTGTCTTCCACCTTGCCCCTCGCTTGGGCCGGCGCCTTTGTGACTGAGTTACTGTAGAATATTTTCCTCACTCCCGTCCATCCGGAATATCTGTCCGTGATCTCTTGGGTACAAATACTATTTAAACCGTAGAGAAATGGTTTTCCCTGCTGGAAATCAGAACATCTGCTCCATGTTCTACCCTTGCTCATTTGGGCCAGGCTGGGCTTGAGCTGTACACAGCCAGAAGAGGCCCTCCCCCCTTTACACTGCTCAGTGAGTGATCTGGGCCTTTGGTCGTGGCACGGAGCAGGTGGTGCTGGAGCCGGTGGCAGGCGGGTGAACCCTCGGCTGTGTCCCCCATGGATCAGCCAACGCTGCGCTCAGCATTCGGTGCAGAGCAGGAAACCAGGCTCCTGCAGCTCCCGGAGCAGTACGGGGGCTGGAAGGCAGTTTTAACAGAATTTGTGGAGTGTTGCAGTGGTAATTTTCCTTTCATTTGAGTTTCCTATTAACCAATCAGAAGCATTGCTCCTTGTAATGGTCCCTGGTTTTAATACATTTCCCTCCACTTCTATGGACTATTGAAAATACACACTAGGTATGTCTATACTACAGCACTAATTCGAACTAACTTAATTCAAATTAGTTAATTCGAACTAAGCTAATTCGAACTAGCGCATCTAGACCTAAAAACTAGTTTGAATTAGCGTTTTGCTAATTGGAACTAGCATGTCCACATTGAGTGGACTCTGAACCGAGGTTAAGGCTGGCCGGAAGCAGTGCTGTCAGGGCATCAGGTTAGGACTTAGAGCGTGGAGCTACTGTCTCAGGCTAGCCGAGGGCTGTGCTTAAAGGGACCCGACCCTCACCCCGGACAGACAGTTCTCAGGGTTCCCCGCCCTTAATTCGAACTAGGCGTTAGTCCTCGTGGAATGAGGTTTATCTAGTTTGAATTAAGCGCTCTGCTAGTTCGAATTAAGTTCGAACGAGCGGTTTGTATGTGTAGCGCCTAGCAAAGTTAATTCGAACAAACATCTGTTAGTTCGAATTAACTTTGTAGTGTAGACATACCCACTGATATTTACTAGTGTGGCGTGTGCTGGGGGGTGCACATCCACCCACCACCTCAGTATTGGTGTTGCACATGAGACATTTCAACCCACCCCAAAGAAAATTCGACCTGACCAAGGATGGAAAATCTTAGTGGTCACAGCCCTGCCGGGCCGTTGGTGCTCTGGTGCTGCGATGTCTCTGTCACCCCTGGTTTCATCAGGGAGTGTTCATCCCTGAGACTAGACCGGTTTCATATTTGCTGGCTAGATAATTTCATGGGGGTTAGGTCCATAAAAGGCTATTAGCCAGGGGATAAAATGGTGTCCCTGGCCTCTGTTTGTCAGAGGCTGGAGAGGGATGGCAGGAGACAAATCGCTTGATCATTGTCTTTGGTCCACCCTCTCCAGGGCACTTGGTGTTGGTCGCTGTCGGCAGACAGGACACTGGGCTAGATGGACCTTTGGTCCGACCCAGTACGGCCGTTCTTATGGCTGTGGAATTACCGGCTTGGTGCAACATTTGAAGCCAAGTCGAACGACGGTTTGTTCAATGATTAACCCCGTGACTTTGGCTTGTTACTGACATTTTATGGGCGTCATAACCAGGAAGTGCCAGGGCTCTGCTCCCAGACCCAGGCCTGCAGCTCTTCCTCGGGTCCCCAAAGGCAGAGTCAAAGCCCGACCTGCCTCGGAAAGGCCCCTTGTCCAGCTCCTCCAGCGTTTTCTTTAATCAGCTGGGCCCTTGTCTAAGGCAAGGGGGCAGATGTTCAAAGGCATTTGGGTGCCTCTAGATTGAGAGGGGCACCTAGGCTGGGACTCACCAGGGGGACCGCAGATGGGGGTGGTCTGGCCTAGTGGTGAGAGCAAGAGTCAGCAGCCAGGAATCACCCCATGGTCAGGGCTGGAGTTGGGGCAGCAACGAGAGCCCAGGGCAGGCCAAGGTTACCTGGAGGGAGCCAGGGCAGCAGCAGCAGCAGGACTGGGGGGGGCCCAGGACCTCGGATCTGTAGTTTTCCCTCCGCCCCTTCCTTAGAATCACAAATGCTGCCATTTCGAGATCACTTTCACCTGATCAAATCCTACCCCCCCCCAGACCGTCCTCGCCCCTCGCTGCTTCCTCCCCCTTCTGTAGTAAAACCCTCGTCTCCCCAGGCCCCACGGCAGAGAGAAAAGGTCCGTGGGGGGCAGGAGACCGGGGGGAGGGGGAGCTTGAGAGATTCCAGATGGGAGAGAAGCCGAGGGGAGGGGCTGGTCGGGAGGAGCCCTACAGGCTCTCTGGGGCACAGCTCCAAAAGGCTTTTACCTCCCGTAGGCAGGCAGCCAGGGCCCTGTCAGCGCCAGTGGGGAGGGTGAGATGGGTCTTTTACCAAAGGGACGACGGAGCAGCTCCCTTATTGCTTGCAGGAAGGTGGGCTCAGTAGTGCAGAGAGAAGCTTTTCTATGTGCCTGAGGCCAAAGGAATCTGATCCATCTCTGGCTTCCTGGAGCAATAAAACGCAGCAAGGCCCTTTGGACTGACATGATACCTGAGGGGCGAGGCACCTTCCTGCCGCCAAACGGACACGTTAGGAGGTAGGTGAGGGAGGCAGGAACTTGTTTGTCCCCTCCTAGAAAGCACCATGGCGGCTGCGGAGCCTTTGCAGAGCATTAAAGCCGAAGTTACCTGTCCCATCTGTCTGGAGTTATTCCGGGACCGTGTGATGACTGAGTGTGGACACAGCTTCTGCCGGGAATGTATCACCCGGCACTGCCAGGGAGACGGAGACGTCGCCTGTCCTCAGTGCCAACAGAAACTTCAAGAGAGACACTTACGGCCCAATCGGGAGCTGAAGAACATTGTGGAGTTAGTAAAGTCACAAGCAGTGGAGGATCCGAGAGGAGGATACGTGTGCAAGATGCACCGAGAGCCTTTGAGATTCTACTGCAAAGAGGATGAGACCCCCGTGTGCATGGCGTGTGAGAGATCCAGGGCTCACCGCGCCCACACGGTGGTTCCCGTGGAGAAGGCTGTCCAGGAGCACAAGGTAGGCACCGTTATTTGTCTTTGATCTTTAAAGTCCCTCCAAACCGCCTGGTTTCATACAAAGGGTGCACGTCCCGAGGGAGGTGGGGGAGGGACGTGAGCACCTTCCGCCCCAACGCCCGGACTAGCACAGACCCTCGATTCAAAACGCATTTGTAGCTGGTTCCTTTACCCAACCGGTGATTCCCGCAGGTGCGGGGGGGGGGAGGGGTTGGTTACCAGGGAGGCAACGAGTCCGGGGGGTTCAGCGTGTGCGACCGACTGAGGATTCCTGGGGTCTGTCCCGGCTCTTCTGCCAACTTGCGGTTTGACCTTGGGGAGTCGCACTGGCCTTGTGTGGGCTTAAGATGGGACTGTCCTGGCCAAAACATGATGTGTGGCCGTGTCCCCACCCGTGAGTGCAGAGTGGCTGGGAGCCGGGAAGCAGAGCGGGCGAGTATCATTCCCATCCTCACCCCTAGCCAGGCTCCTGGGCTGCCCAGAAGGACTTCCCCTCGCCCCTCCGCCCCACGTCAGGGCAGGTTGGTGCTTCTGAGTTTCTGTCTGAGTCTGAGACTCTCCCACGTCCCGGGTCTTGGTTCCCTGAATCCCTCCCCCATTGCCCTGTGGTGCCCTGTCCATTGGGCTGAGCAGGAGCATTGGCCTCTCCCCACTGGGCCTGGGGACCGTCAATTTCCAGTCTCCTCCAGGCCCTTTCTGTGCGTTGCTGGGACGGTGCCCCGGGAGCCAAGCTACCTCTCTGGCGGGAAAGTCCAGAAAAGCAGCCGCCTCTTGGGAAGCCCAGACAAGCCCCAAGCCGCTCAGAGCCCTGGGGGAGCCCAGACAAGCCCCAAGCCGCCCAGAGCCCGGGGGAGCCCCATACAAGCAACCAGCATCTCAGAGCAGCCAGGCGCACTGAGAACAAAGCAGCGAGGGTCTTGTGTGAATCCACTTTGGCAAACTCCCCTGGGGTCTCCGGCTGTGACTTTCCAAACGCCCCAGGTTTGGGATTCCTACCCGTAGCCACTGGAGTCTGCAACGCCTGGAGTCTGGGCAGTGGGGGGTGACCTCGGGCCCTGCAGAACCAGCCTAAGACACGTGAGAAATGGAAAACGCCCTTCCCAGAATCCTAGAGCCCTAGAGCCTGGGTCTGGCAGAGACCTCAGGAGTCATCGAGTCCAGCCCCCTGCCCAAAGCAGGACCAACCCAACTCAATCATCCCAGCCAGGGCTTTGTCCAGCCGGGACTGAAACACCTCTAGAGATGGAGACTCCACCCCCTCCGTAGGGACCCCAGCCCAGCGCTTCCCCGCCTGCCTAAGGGAAGAGTTTTTCATGCTGGAATTTCGCAATGTTGAGAGAACGTTTATCGATGGTTGTCACAAATGGAAATTGCAGCTCCACCAAGCTCCTTCCCCTTTATCTCTGATCAGAGGTTCTTGCTGGGGGGGTGGGGGAGAGGGGCTGTATCCAAGGGGTAGTTACCGCAGGGCAGAGGGTGACGCATCCCCAGATGGACTCTCGATGCTTTTTTCTCCCTGTTTCCCGGCAGGTGGATGTGAAGAGCCTCGTGAGGAGGTGGGTTTGTGAATCGCTCCTCGGGAATCACAGCATGAAGAGCTGTGGACAGTGTGTGAGAGACCCAGAGACGAGCTCCTGTCCCGTCTCCTGCCGCCCCCCACCCGCCCCGCTCTGATCCCCGTCCCTCTGGGGAATCACTGCAGTCCCATTGCACGGGGAGGGTGCAGAGTGACCAGACAGGAGGGGAAATAGGAGACACGTCTGGCGTTGCCTCCCCGCTGACTCTCCCGTCCCCCTGTGATCCCCGGGCCAGGAGCTCAACGTCCCTCCCTTCCCCCTGGTGCCGGTGGGTGGGTGGTGAGAAGGCGCCAAGTGCTGACGGGAAATTCTGTGTCTAGGTTTGAAGAGTGGCTGTCTCCAGCCCCGTCGCAGGTCTCTGCGGGGGAACAGGCCAGTGTCTCTCCGGCAGGGCAGGGGGTCACCCAGACGGAGTCGAGGGGTCACACAGGTGAGCCGGGGCCTTGCGCCGTGGGAAGGTGCCATGGGGCTGGGTTTGGTGCTTGGCTCTGTTACGGGAACGGGGCCTCCCCGGGCGAGTGACGGGGGGGGGGACAGAAAGGGGCCCGGCCCGGTGAGAAGGTCTCGCTGCATTCGCGTCAGTCCCTCCATTCGCTAAGGCCTGGCCGGTGTCTGGTAACCGGGCCCGTCCCTTGCTGGTGGGGCAGGGCCCTCGCCTGTCCCTGCCTCGGAGATACAGCCCCTGGGCCCTCCCCCACTCTTCCCCCCACCGCCAGAGTCAGGGGTTCGGGGTCTGGCTCTCTGAGGAGCCCCTTTGCTTCTTGTCCTGTCCTCAGAGGCCAAGGGGAACAATTTGTCTCCCTCCTCCTCGTGACGCCCTTTTAGATACTTGTAAACAGCTCTGGACGACCAGACTCTCCTTTGCACAATTCGTGTGACCGAGGACACATCATGGACATTGACAATGGTTTATAGAGCCCCAGACCTGCTGTCAGTTTCCATCACTCTGCCCTGGCGGAAATGCAGGTGCTCCAGCGCCGTGTCAGGGCGTGAGCTGGGAGCCAGGCCAGGCTGGATGTCAGGGGAGCAGAGTCCAAGGCTGGCCAGAGGGGAAACGCCAGGGGTATACCTATTTAGAACTAGGGTGGCAGTATAGACATACCCCAGGAGATCAAATCAGTAATAGGAGCCGGCTGAGCCCAGGAGAGCCAGCCCCACGCAGGGAAATCCGGCTGAGCAGACAAGTTCCTGTCCCTCTGCCTGGTTCGAGGAGCCGTGGGACACAGATGGACCCAAGAATCCCCCCACTGGATCCCAGCCCTGGAGTCCTGTCCCGGCAGCGCTGAGTCTGTGGGTCCGGCACCAGGCGCAGCTCAGACGTGGGTGGGGGCAGGGACTGAGACCAGGCCCGGGTGTGAAATCCAGGTCCCAGGGGCGTGTTCCTTTGCCCTTCCCCATAGACAGTCACTGCCCGGCCGCCCCCAGAGCTCAGGGCTTCTCAGCCCCCCCTTCCGCCTTGGGGGGCAGCTCGGGCCGATTGTCGGACGTGCCCCTGGCTCTGGGCGCCCGGCTGAGATAGCAGAGACCGGACGTCCAGGGCTGCTGGGGAACGACCCAGTGAACTCAGGGGGGCTGGGAGCGCTGAGCCACCCTCCAAGTGTGGGGGTGGGGTGTCAGCACCCCACATAATAACTTTGGAAGGTCCTTTCTGGCACGTTTCACTCCCTGCCCATGGGGGTCCCAGAGCGCTGCAGGAGACCCCCCGCCAGGGCCAGGCTGGCTCGCAGGGGGAGGGGTCTGTGGGGTGGGGGG